CCTCCTGCTACTTGGACCACTTATGCTTCCAGTGGTCCATGATGGCCGTTGTCCTTTGCAGGAAGATCTTAGCAGAATCAAGGCCTTCCACTGACCCGACCGTCTAGATCATAGCCCGATCAATCGAGCTCAGCAAACCCTTAGGGAAGAATTTCTCCGAGGTCACTCCCGCGCTCCACAGTGAGTCTATATCCTCTGAAGCGCTCACGTGGTCCAACCGCACCAGAGAGAGATCCTTTCCAAAGCGGTGGGCGAGGTATTGGCTTTTGGGGGCCCCCTTCTACGTGCTAGATGGCGCCGCTGAGGCCGCGGGAGTAGGCGTCGGAACTTCGGAGCTCGGCCCCTTTCCGCGGGCCTCGGCAGAAGCAGAAGCAGGCGCCTCCTGCTCAGCAATTAGGGGGCTCGCCCCTGGCACCTCCGAGCTCGGAGCTACCGAGACCTCGGCAACATTCCTCACCTACAAAAGACAAAAATATTCTCCTAAGTCAGAAGTCAAGAAAAAGGCAGTATAGAAAGAAAACCACAAAGAAAGGCACCAACCTCAGCGGCCTGCACAACCTGTTCGGCGGCCTGGGCAACCACCTCGGCGGCCACTTGGGGAGCTCCCTCGGGCGGAGGACTCCACGTGAGGTCAACCGCGCCAGTGTCGGTAGCCTTTGAGGTCACCTCCTCGGTATCTTGAGGGGCAGAGGTCCCCCCGACCTCTTTCTCTCCCCTCTTTCTTTTTCTCAGGGTCTGTAGAGGGGCCACCTCCTCCTCTTGAGGGTCAGGGACCTTAATCTCGGTGACGTTGTAGCGAGACTTCAGCTCATGCCACTTGCTTTTGCCCATTATGCCTGCAGATACAACAATCAGATACGTCGGTAAAAATAAAAAATTCCTGAACCCTGGCAACTAAGAAGGACGAGATACTCACTCTCTAGACCCCTCTCCTTGTACACCGAGTTAGCAAGCGACAAAACGAGCTTGCAATCCAAGGGACGAGGAAGTGCTTCAAGGTTTGCAATGGCAGCAGCATCCGAGGCCGTCAATTGCAAGTTGGTCGACCCGTGAAACCGAGCCGGGGCCAGCCGCCAGTAAAAAGGAAACTTCGGCAGCCCGCCGAAGTGGAACACCTCATCTTGCAACGGGTCGACGCCCTGGAGCGTAACCCGGAAGAACTATTGTTTAAAGTTTTTGTAATACTGGGAGTAATGGGAAAACAACACCCCAGCCTTACTGCCACTCAGAGACGCCCAACCATAAGGAGGGACTCCCAATTTTAACTGGTAAAAATGAAGAAAAATAGGACGAGATAACCTTATCCCTAGGGCTGAACACAGGACTTGAAATGCCCTCAAAAAACCCCAGCTATTGGGGTGCAACTGGCAAGGAGCCGAGTTGACGAAATTCAAAAAGTCACAATCAACTTGGGTGAAGGGAAGACAGACGCCTAAATCCCTAAAGAGACACTGATACACGTAAAAGTGGGGAGGGTCAGAAGAACTTCCCATGTACACACGCTCATCGGCCTGACAGGCTTCGATCCGTATAAGCTTGGAAATGGAAGGGTCACAGATTCTATGCGATTTCCGAATCGCATTGATCTCTATGAATGACCTAACGACGCTTTGAAACTCCCCGACATCACTCTTGACCCACTCATAGCCAGGGATGCCGGAAGAGGGTTTCTTAGGTTGGTTCTCCCCCTTTTTCCTTTCGGCGGCAACCGTCCCGGCAGCCACCGCCTTGCCGCGCGCCTTGCCCTTGCCCTTGGCCGGCGCGGAGGGAGCGGCACCATCGTTACCTGATGGAGAATGTGAGGAGGAGTGAAAGGTGTTCTTCTCCTAATCTTCTCTCTAGCTCAGATCTTCTTCAAGGAGATGCAAACCGAAGTGGATGAACACTAGAAGGAGGAGGATTCTCGGATAGGAAGAAGGCTTAAGCCTTGGATGGAAGCATCCAAGCTCAAGGTTCAATGGAATGCTCACTTCAAAGAGAAGGAAGAAGATGAACTTCCTAGGGTTTTTGAGGTGAACTCTCAAGAAGACTTTGAAGAGGAAACTCGGCACTTAGGCTCTCAAATTTCATATATGGTTCAAAGTGATTACAATGTGTAGAAGAAAGACTTAAGTAGGGTTCCGGATGTGCACTCTTTGGGCGCCTAAATCAAAGGCTACATGTGGCGCCCAAAATTTGAATTCAAACTTGAAATTTGAATTCAAATTTTGGCTCCCATGTGCTAGTCCGAAAATTTAGGTACCAAGGTGCATTTAGGTTTGATTTGAGAGTTATTTAGGGTTAATTTGAGTGGCACATGTTCAGCCACCCATGGTGCTAAACATGTGACTCAAATGTAACTTAAATGACTTCCAAATTAAACCTAGTTTAATCTAATTTACCTATTTAAGTAATCCTTGCATAATCCTATTCTAATGACCTAATTACAATGGTCAATCAAATACAATGGAAAGGAAAAATTACAAGAATGAAAATGAGCCCAATATTGGGTACCAAAAGCCCAAAGGCCCATGAAACCCAAAACTAGGCCCAACAAGCCTAAAACCTAAAATGCTACTCTATGTGGTCCAAAATACAAGACCAAAATATATTCAAACTATGCTAACAAAATATAATAAGAATGTTCATAACAAGATAGGCCCATGTTGAAACTTGGTTTGGGCCTTCCAAGCCCATAGGGCCCATTGGGCCTTGACTGGCCCAATCTTCCATGTCTAGCCCACTCCTCTTGGATCTTTGAGTATGTCACCTCTTGCACTCCAAAGCATGATTCCATCATTACCAGCCATCAAGAAAACAAAAAGATTTGAGAGGAAGGAGAGGATAGGGAAATCGAAGTACCTGGTACTCCTTTGACAAACGAAAGAACAATAAGGAGGGAGGAGAACTCAGTTACCGAAAATGGCGACGGAAGAGAACGGAGACAGGGTAAGCGAAGATGAAAAGTGAATAGAGGAGAACGAAACTGGTGTGCACAGGAAGCCAAAGAAGCTAAAGAACGAAAAAGAGTAAAGTGAATGGGAAAGGGCGCGAGAGAAAGAAAAGGTTTTTCCCAAAATTCAAATGGCCACAACACGTGTCAGCCAAGGGACAAAACTGGTGATACATTTAATGAGCCCCATTATGATGAACACGACCATCATTGCATAACCGTCACTTCCCATTAACACGCCGCCTGCACGTTTTCGAGAACGAGGCGACGGTTATGACACGTGTGGCATCTTGACAGACAGGCGTATGCGAAGGGTCACGGTCCCTTGACGAGCTCGGTCTTAACTCCTCGACCCACGGTCTTCGGAGCTCGGGGGGCTAGTGTACTATCTGTATCGCTATGTCGAGCTCGAGCTCGACATCTTAGCGCGGAGTGACCTTGGACACACAGTATCGCTATGTCGAGCTCGAGCTCGACATCTTAGCGCGGAATGACCTTGGACACACGCTAGGCGACGTCAGCCCGACATCCAAATAGGTCATAACTGATCTTAGGCCCAAGGCCCAATGAAACCCTAATTCACACGAAAGTACGTGCATTACTCATACGAGACATATACACCCACAAACACTAATTTTAGTATCGGAGTCTCTTTTGCAGGTACCACCCCTGCCTTGAAACAGCAAGCATACCCAATGAAGGAGGCTCGCCGATCTTACCCAGCAGATCGTCCCCTACGACCGATCTCCAGTAAGAACATAATCAAATATTAATCAAGAAAGTTCAACATATATTATTAGGAGTTTGATTCATGAGCGCGTATTTTGTGTACAAAGAAAGCTGTTTAGTATTCGCTTTAAATCTCTATGGCATGAAATTACTTTTTAATTATCAAGTTTGAAATGATCTTTAATGTAAGTTTAAATAGTTATAAATTAGTTTCATAAATTTAACTAATTTTGTTTCAATACATTGTATTTGTAATTAAACGGTGATAAATGGTCTTTTCCATGTAAAAAAAAAAAAAAAAAAACGGCGATTAATGGTGTATCTTATAAAATTAGTTGAAAACTTATAATCAATGGTTAGCAGTAGAAAACACACTCAAAATATACGATAATTTTAAACAAATAGTAGGTTCTTTACCAAAAATAAAATAAAAAATAAAACAAATAGTAGCTTTAAAAGTTTCACGGTTTTTACGTTTTGGTGGTGAAACCAAATTCACCATCAAAGCAAACATATACTAAAATTAAAATGATCTAGGAAAAGCTAAAAATCGACATATGGTATAGATTACACACGAGAGGATATTGCTCCATAGTTTAGCAAACCTGTCATTTTTAGTGTAACAACAACACGTACGTATATTATACATCACACTATTTTTTGTAACAAGCAAAAATCACGAATCACCCGTCGAGAATTAAAAAACACAGAATTCAGTAACACTTTGACTATTGATAGACGTACCCGAATCTGTGGACGCCACAAGACCACGTACGCATGCAGTTTTTGGCTTAACGCAACGCAATCACGATGCATCACATAAATAGAAACACGGAAGAAGAAGAAGAAGAAAAAATAATAATAAAAGAAAGGTCCTCTCGAAAAGAGTAGTATTAGCAGTGATCCGAACACCGAAATCCCAACCTCGTACCTTTGTAGCGCGGCTCTCGGACCACGGGAGCGGCATCAGAAAAACATGCATCCCTTCCAAGCGTGCCTCCTCCTCCCGCTGCTGGCGGCCAGCGCCAGCGTCAGCGTCGGCGGCGGGCACCACCGCGTGGACGCGAGGCAGTTCTTCGGGTATGTCCCTGAGAGCGAGGACGCGTCGTTCACGAACCAAAGCCTGTTAGCGGCGGAGTTTCTGCAGGCGCACAACTGGGTGCGGAAGCAGTACAACCTGCCGCTATTGGCGTGGGACGAGAGCCTGGCGAGCTACGCGCGCGGGTACCTGATGCAGCGCTACAACGACTGCAGGATGGTGCACTCGAACTCCAAGTACGGCGAGAACATGTTCTGGGGGAAGAAGCTTCACTGGAACCCCTCCGACGCCACCTACTTCTGGTACCTGGAGAAGCAGTGGTACGACTTCAAGACTCTCACGTGCGCCCCTCCCCCCAAAGCGTGCGGCCACTTCACGCAGGTCGTGTGGCGGGACTCCCAGCGCGTCGGCTGCGCCCTTCAGCATTGCAACAACCGCGCCATGGGAATGCTCATTGCCTGCGAGTACGATCCTGCTGGTAACTACGCCAATGAGAACCCTTTGCAACAACATACATGAACCATGAATCATCAATCAATTTTCACAATCTGTTCATATTACATCATCACACACGCACATGCATGCATGTATCTAGCTCGTTAGTTATATATAGTCTCCTTGTCTATATTATTGTAATTATTATTTAATCCATTTGTTGTTCTCCATGAGCAACTGGTTGAATGATTTGAACATTAATTACAAACTTTCTTCTAATGAGAGAGATGGGCTTCTTTTTGCCTTCAAATCTAAATTCTATCTTCATTTTTACGTCATTCTTTTCAATTATTTACCAAAAAAACATTATTTTAATAATATGAAAGTGTAACTCGACACTTTTATACACTGAAACAAGCTTTATAACATCTTGTATACCGTATGGTGGCCGACCAGACCGATCCGAACACGTCGGCGGACTCGGCCAAGTTACGGATTTATGCCAGGATAATTATGGAGAGATTAATTTACGTAATGCGCTGGATTAGTCCCCTAATTTCTCGGGGTCCAGTCCCTAATCGCGGCCCAATAAGAATAACTATAAATAACACCCCTACGAGGTAAGTAACTAATTTTTAACTACCGCATTTATTACGCCGTGCACTTACTTGAGCGTTAGAGTGTCTTTGCAGGCACCCCCCTTCACTTCAGACTACTTGGAAATGAACGAGAAGACCTAGACCTAGGACCAGACCCGCCACAACAAGGACAAGTGAAGTGTGTATCCTAACACAGGAACATTCAGCCCCTTTGAACTCTACGACTAAGACCGAGACATGGTAGTAACACGCAAAGGACCATCGACATCGACTCAACCGATCCCTAACCCCGAGAACAATCCCGTCATGACCGGCCAGGAACGATACCCGTACGAAATGCCTCAGACACAACCGGAGCCCGTGATACAAGAGGTTCGGCCGAACACTGAAGGAGCCCAGCCCGACCTCCATGATGACTTGCGCGCATTGTGTGAGGAAATGGCAGCCATCCGAAGACAAAAAGAAGCCGACGCCAGGGAGTTGGCCGAACTGCGTCGGCAAAACGCCGAGCTACGAAGTCTGAACCAAACTTACGTGTCGTCTACTCCCACACTCCTAGAGGAGTCGGCCTATCATGCCCCAACCGACCATGTGACCCGAACACCGGTTACTTCTTTGATTGGTGGCAAGGTCGACACCACTACCCACTCGTTGAGACACCCTTTCTCCCGAAGAATAATGGAGGCAACCCTTTTGGACCATTGGAAGAGCATGCCGATTGAGAAATATGATGGATCTACCGACCCCGAGGAACACTTGAACGTTTTCCTGACACAAGCGACCCTCTCTACCCAAGATGACTTGGCCTTGTGCTGGATATTCCCCACGTCATTGAAAGGGAGAGCTCTCAATTAGTTCACACGATTACCGAGCTCTTCCATCGACTCGTTCAATGAGTTGTCATCCCAATTCACACTGTAGTTTGCGACGAGCAAACCGTACAAGACGACATCATTAGTGCTGGCGGGGGTTCGCCAAGAGAAGAAAGAGAGCTTGAGAAGCTTCATGGACTGATTCAACAAGATTGCCATGGAGATCGGGGATCTCAACCCGGCCATGGCGTTGGACCGACTGAGCACCGCCTTGAGGCCGGGGCCATTTGTGAACAGTTTGTGTAAGAAACCGCCCGGTGATATGAACGATCTCCGACGCCGAGCCAAGAAGTATATGCAAATGGAGGAGCTGGCAGAAACCCGAAATCAGGCTAGGGCCGAGGAAGGTTATAGCAGAAAAGAATCCGGCCGAGAGCTGATGAGAAAAACGAATGCTGAGCCCTCAAATACTCGCCCCCCGAGAGGGCCACGCTTCGCAGCGTATACTCCCCTCAACGCGAGTAGGGCCAAGGTAATGGAACAGGCCCTTGCATCAAAGATCCTTGTGATGCCGAAAAGGGCGAACACACCCCCTAGAGCCGACAAAGCCGAAATGTGCCGATTCCACCGAAACAGGGGGCACTCAACTGAAGAATGCTCGGCGCTGAAAGACAAGCATGAGGACCTCATCAAGCAAGGTCACCTCAGAAACTTTGTCACCCTCTAGGACCACACCAGGAAAGAGGGAGAGACCACTCTCGCGAAGCCCATCAGCCGAGAGACCTACGCCGTCGATCCCGTTCAGCCGAAAGACAAGATCGTTCGCTGCATTCCTGGGAAGATAACGATGACCAAGGAAAGTGATAAACACAATAGCCGGAGGCTTCGTTGGGGGAGGTTCCACCTCTTCGGCACGAAAGAGGCACCTCCGGGCAATGCGATCAGTAACTAGTGTGAATCAGCCGAGGACACCGAAGATGCCACCGATTACCTTCTCCTACCGAGATTTTTGAGGCGTCGATCCCATTCAGGATGATCCCATGGTAATTTCTGTTGAAATGCACAATTGCATTGTGAAGAAAACCTTGGTTGACCAGGGGAGCTCTGCCAACATCATGTATTGGAACACGTTTGTGCAACTCGGGATCCTGGAGGAAAGCCTAGAACCGTACCACGAACCACTGGTAGGATTCTCAGGTGAAAGAGTGATGACGAGAGGAAACAGTGTTTTATCACTGAGACGCCTACTTTTGCTATAAAGTAATGCCGTTTGGGTTGAAGAACGCCGGGGCGACCTACCAGAGGTTAATGGACAAGGTGTTTCAAGGTCAAATCGGCTGAAATATCGAGATTTATGTGGACGACATGGTGGTCAAGTCCAATTCCCTGGCCAATCACATAGCAGACCTAGCTGAAATCTTCGATGAACTAAGCAAGCACAACATGAGGCTCAACCCCGAGAAGTGAACCTTCGGGGTCAAGGGAAGCAAATTTCTAGGGTTTATGCTGTCAGCTAGAGGAATAGAGGCAAACCGAGACAAGTGTCAGGCTGTGTTAGACATGCGAAGCCTAAGCAACCTCAAAGAATTACAACGACTGTCTGGGAGCAACCTCGTTCAGTCGAGCAATCTTGGCAGCTGCAGCGGTGGCCTCGGTCTTCATTTTCTGGACCGTCAACTTCAAATTGTCAGCCTCTCTCCTATGGGCGTCGACCACCCTCTTCAACTCCTCGGCCGACTCGGTAGCCTTAGCGTTGGCAGTCAACGCCTCATTCACCGTCGCCTTGGCCTCCTTAAGCCTCCCCTGGAGCCTTTCCTCCGAGACAACGGACCTCATCATGATATGCTTCGCAATCAGAGAGGTCCGAGCATCAAGCTCACAAAAAAGCTTTTACTCGGCCTCTGAGGACATGCCCTCCAAATATTGAAGCACGCCGTCGGTAGTGAGGTCTAGGCTGACCAAGTTCTCGGTCTGTACGTTCGACACAAGGAAGTTGGAGCCGGTAACAACAAAGGGAATGGCGAACGCACCACAACCCGACTGCTCCAAGGTTGGTTGCTTTTGACCCTTGGTTGAAGAGCTCGGACGTTCCACTTCAATATTCTGCTCAGCCGGACGCACCTGAGACGTCCCGGCCTTCTTTTTGGGGTCGGCCAAAGGAATCGACACGTTAGAAGGCTTGTCTCGTTGAAACTTCAGCGCCGACCTCATCGGCAACACCTTCCCACTGACCCTCGCATTTTTTTCTCGGTTCGCGAGCATAGCAGTCACATCTAAATCGTGGTCGGCCATTAATCCTGCAACAAAACAAGTCTTAACATCAATTCAAAACATTGTTACATTACCGAAGCCTAAAACACATACCTAGCAAGGTCAACTCAAAATTCAAAGTTTCAAATATGTCTAGGAGGCCTCGGACAGGTAAACCCTTCGGCAACTTGTCGAGCAACTCCATGATTTCTCGGTCCTCGGCAAGGAGCTTCGACGCAGGCATCGCCTCGAAACGGGTTGGGTGTTTCGTCCAATAAAAAGGGAACAGCGGGGATCCCTCTCGGTCGTAAAAACAATTCTCCATATCCGACCCCCAACGGACTTTGAAGAAACCACTCTTAAATCCTTTGTAGGACGATGTGAATGCCCTCAAGAACCCACGCTTCGGCACCCGAGCCAAGGAAACCCACTTCATCGACTTGCTCGGGCGGCAAATGTAATAGTAGAGGAAGGAGAGTGGTCGGGGAACGAGGCCTAGGCAAAGGCATAAATTCTGAAAAGCCTGCATGGCAGCCCAAGCATTCAGATGCAGTTGGGTCGGCGCCACGTTCAGGACTCGGAGCACTCCCATCTGAAAATCGTTGAAGGGCAGCTTTATGCCGAGATCCTGGAACCAGCACATGTAGACGTAAAAATAATCATTTCTCGCTAACCCCTCTCCCCCCGACCCCGACTCCAAGAACACGAAGTCGGTATCCGGCCCATCATCGTCACACGCCTTGGCGATTAGGGGTAACTCGTCTTCCCCACTCCCCAAGCACTTCTCTAGCGTCACGAACTTATTGAGCAGTCCGTGGTCGGAGAACGACGAGAAGTATATGTCGACCTCCCCGTCCACCCACTCGTACCCGGGCATCTCGACCATTCCATAATCAATCTTTACCCGAGCATTCGCACGCACCAAGGCCTCGGCTTGACCATGGCCAACCACATCCTCATCATCACTCGCGTCGGCATGAGTGGCCTTCTCATTGCCACGCGTCGAAGCCACCGCCAACGTCGCAGGGGGCGACACCTCAACCACCTCGTCTCCACTATCCTCCTGCTCGGCGAAATCTGAAGGGAACACCATCTCACATTGCAACGAGGGCAGCCTTGAGACTTCACTCGAACCCGACCCCTCTCTCTCTGGCGAAGCACCCGACGCCTCTGACGACGTCCAACAACTAGCCGAGGAGTAACCTCTATCCATTTAGTATAAGAAACTAAAGAATACAAAATTTTACCTTGATCGTTGAGATCGGACAAGTCTTTGAGTTTCAGAGCTCTCGAGAAATTTACAGCAAGTAAATTTCCAATGCACCCCCCTATTTATAGGCAAGGTAAATGGGGGGAGTTGAAAAGACACCCCGAATCCACAACCATTGGATCTTGACCATCCAACAGCCCAGATTTAATAGTCGTTGGGCTTGTAACCTCCATGGCCAACGTGGCATACCCTAACCGCTGAGGTCTCGGCATAAGCCTCATTCCATCTACTGACCGTAGCTGTCGGCGTGCCTCGACTCAACTCGAAAAAATTACGTGACAACGCCGAAAAGTCATTCGAAGTTAAGGGTGATCACTTAGTCATCGGATAGTCGCCCCAGGCCCCGAAACCGACAACTCTCTTTCTGCCGAGGACATCA